CTTGAGCCTTTCACAGCTCAGCATATTAATATGGCTTTACTTTATATAGCTCATTTTTATACTTTTCTGCTGGATTGTTAAGACCAAGATAAAGCAAGACCTATATAACAAGAAATGTAACTTTTGTATCTGATAAGGTCAGTCAAGTACCCTCAGGATTTATCCTGAAACCCTGCACCTCAGTTTGTAGCTCTTATGTAAGTGTCAGCCATGTGGATGAGTCACAGCTATTGCTTGACCAATTTGCCCTCTGTGGAAGTCTGAGAGAATGTTTTCTCTCCATGTGTTGAGTCCTTCTCTTTAAAGATGTTTTGTGAAGAAATTGATTTTTTATGATTTGTGAAGATGGAAATTCATCCCTGGATTTCTCTTTAAGACTTTGTAATCAACATAATGGGTGATGCTGGAAAAAAATTGAACTAGGAGCTCTTTTGCCTATGAAGCCATCTTGCAAAAGAAGAGTGGATGTGGTTGGACAGCTATCTAAACTTTTAAAACTGGAGGAATTGCTCCTGCAGCCAACAGTCTAGGGAGGTCACACTTCTCAATTTTTCTACAGCAGAAATGATTACTGCCTAGAAATGCTGTGAGATGATTTTGAAAGTCAGTGTTTTTGAGACAATCTCACAATGAAATGTGGATTTATAATCTTTTCCTGCTGACACAGGAAAACATTAGCTATTCAGAGGTTGCCAAAGTTACTGACAAAGGAGATGATGTAATGTGATAGCAACCTAGAGTCTTACAGATTTTGACCCAAGCCTACCTGTGCCAGAAAATATTGATTAAAGGAACTTAAGTTGCATTTGATACTTTGATGAGTTAACACCTTTACTTCATATAAAATCAAATCAATCAAGTGTTATAAGTATATGTGTATTACTACAGCAAAAATTAAGTTGGTAAACCTAATCTTGTGTGCTCTTGTATTACATAAGTACAAACTGTAAGTGTAGTGTGTGGGTGTATTTTTCTGGAAAAGAGACCTGTAGGGTTTTTTCTGTTTGAAGTGTTAAAGATTGAACTGAGCACCTCATGCCTGTTATGCAAGCACCACTGAGCTACACCCCCAGCCCCAGATCTGTACTTTTGTTCCATTCCCTAAGGAGTTTCATTTATAAATGTTGGGAATCAGCACATTATATATAAAGGCCTCTTTTAGTTCTAAAATTACATAAATCTTAAAGTCTAATGCCAAATTGGTGACTTTTATTGAGAAATTTATTGATTATACAGATACTTTTTATGAGCATTGTTAAATATCTGCTTGAAAAATTTCCACATTTTATCCAGATATTTGATGTCCTATGTATAGAGGCAATGACATAGGTATGACATTGACTCACACATTTGTGTGATGGACGACAGGCTCCTAATTTTCCCTGTGTCTGGGCTGTCTGCATCTAAAGGAAGGGTGTCAAAGCCCCACCACAGCTGGAAAGAGGAAGAATTTGTGGATAACTCATAATTTTTAACCAGTAATCTGTATGTTCCTCTTACCCAGAAAAATTCTCCTCGATTATAACAAAATGGAGGGGCAACTGAACTGGACACCTAACCTGTTAATGCCCCACCCAGTCCAGTTCTGAAATGAGAGGGAGGGAAAATGGGTGGTAACATGTGTTTCTGTACATAGAAGAGTTCTTATTGGTCTAAACTCATGCACTGGACAGGAAAGGGTCAGAAGAAAAGCTCAGGCCCACACCCAGCACCTTTCCAGGGGCATAGGAGTAGTTTGTACTCAAGACTTCCTATTTGGTTGTAGGGAGTTACGGTTGCAAAATGGATGATGAAAGATATAGAATTGAAATACCAAAGAGTCTTAATCACTGGTTATTAAAAGATGACTAAGTTTTATTCTTTTTTGAACATTTTATAAAAGGTGTAGGCATAAACTTAGGAAACCATTTCCATTATGTAAGGTGGTACTACTAGTCCAAGAAATTTAAATGCTTGCTATACAATATCTTAACATCCACATCAATTTCTTTACTTCTTCCTCAGGAAATCCTTCACCACTTTGTTGGTTTTCTAATATGAAGTAAATATTGGGACTTATTCCTTTGACATAAAACTTGAGAGCTGGTATAGAGAAATAACTTTAGAGAAGAACGTACATTTATTTCTTATCCTTAGCAGGAGAACACTAGATCCTACTCGTGTATTCCTGGCTAACTAGGGGCCAGGGATCATTTCTTAAGTTCTGGCTCTCCTTGTGCTGCTCAATGATCATATGATGGAAATCTAAAGGGGTTGTTGACAATATTAAATGTAACAAGGTTCGAGGTGGGTAGGTTGGACTCTTCACCACTGATCAATTTTTCAGTCTAAGGGTTTATCTACCTGACAAGAAGATTTGAACTACTGTCATTTTCTAAATTGTTCTTCTAAATATTAACTTAGTGGTGAGACTCAAAGTGTCATAACACAGCTCATTGGAGCAATGAAAATTTTCCAGGCCTCATTTGAGAGGTCTGCACAATGTCTCACAGGGAGTAGGAAAGGATGGGTAGTATTGAAGAAGAAAAATAAAATCAAGTAGTGTTTGGAAGAAATGCCACTGTACCTCATGTAATGTTACAGAGGCAAATGAACACTCACGGGATTGTTGGCTGAGGCCGGAGGTGACCAAGGTGGAGAAGAAAGGACAGCGGTTAAACCAGTAATCTCTAAATCATTAACCAGCAGGAATAGGAGGAATATGAGTTAGCAGGGCACTGTTGGCTGGGATGGAAGAAGTAACAACTGACTCTCAAAGAGCTGTTACTTGGGAATCCAGATTTGAAGGTCTAGGCCGTGTCTAAGAAAAATCTCATCCAATTTGCATCAAGTTTTCAACACAGCCAGACCTTTACCTAATCTTCATTTAGGTCACTGTGCAAATTCTAGGAAGCTAACATTTTAGCTTCTCTCCTCCTGATTGTTAACACTGTAGCTGGTCTTAAGGCATTTTTTGTCACATCACATTAGCTGTTGAACTGTGAATCAAAGAAAGTGATTGGCCTCTTCCTGCCCTTCAGGAAATTCGTTGGAGAAGCAATGAGATATTTTACATGCAAATTAGCTTTTGAGATTCACTAGATTCTCCGTAATACATAAGCTCATGATCTCCAAAATGGGAGAAAGCCTTATGCTCTGTAATACTGCAGAGAGAAGCTTAGAATGTGGCAATGTTCCCTCTCTGGGATTCTCCCCATTTTGCTGCAGCATTGGCATCCATGGCTGTGAAAATCACATGGACAACTGATTATATATGGATAAGACATGTGAAGAGTTGGGTTATTACTAGGGCAGGTGCTCTTCAAGTAAGAAGAATTTAAGTTAAGATATAGCAGGTAACACTAACCAGGTATGATGGAAGGTGACTTCCTGGTACTGTGGTGGTATTTGTCTTGGTGGTCCTCTAAAATGAGTTTGGTTGCTAATGCAATATGCCCAACCTATTTCCCCCCCCCATGCCTCTACATGTAGTCCCTTGTATTTGTTGATAATAATGCTTCTGAGAATGAACTTGCAGTTTAGCAAAATCTTTGGAGTTTAGAGCTCCTCACAATGGGCTCAGGCATGAGTTTGGTTCTTACGGTTAAGTCTCATCAGTCTGGCCCAAGCTCTGATTTGCATCCTTTGTCTAGCATCCAATTCTGAGAAACTGAGTCTCAATTTTGAGATAGAACAGTCTTCCTAAACCCTTTTCCTGCACAAAAGCTTCTTATGTCAATCTAGGTGACTGCTATGGACAGAACTCCAAGCATCTTCAGACTTTCTAATGTCCCCCCCTCAAACTAACTCTGTTAGCAAAGCAAGTCTGTGTCTTGTTGCTGGGTTTTGACACTGCACCCTGATCTGGCCTTTCTGAGCTCCCCTCTACATGGCTGTCACTGTCCTGTGTCAGCTCCTGTGGCTCCCATCACAGCCTGGATGTGGGTGCTTTCTGTGTCTCCATCTGTTCCATGTTCCTCTGCTAGCGAGCACACCCCTGCAAGCCCTGAGCAGCTCTCCATGTGGCCACCTCCAGACGTCCTCCTCCAGGCTCCTGCTGAAGCTCTTGCCCTCCATGTGGGCCATCTGTGCTTCAACCTTGCTTGCTCATCCTGTTCTCCATTCTCTATCCATGAGGGCCTCCCTTCCCCATAGCCCACCACATTTTCACAATTCCCTCAACTGTCATCCCACTCCAGCCAAAGCCATTGAAATCCCCTTAGTGACTTCTCCCCATGTCCTACTAGGCTGCTGGTTTGTTTGGTTTTTTGTTTTTGTTTTTTTCATTTCTAGGCTTCCCCATGCTTCTTAGTCCATAATGTCAATTACCAGTTTTACAATGTTAAAAATTAGGAGAAAAGTGCTTTCAGCCATGTGCATGGAAAAGTCAAATTGCTTACCACTTACTGAATGAGTGAATTTCACTAGTGGTAAATTGGTTATTTTATTAGCATTGAATCATCTCATCCATAATTAAATATATTAACTACCAGGATGGAAGTATTCTAAGGACTTCTCACAGTAACTAAGAAAGTTTGCATGACTATTTCTGTCATTTAAGGAGGTAAAATAATATCGTTTCTTAGTGATCTAGGATATACAAGGGGAGTCTTGAAACAAAGGGACTTCATTTAATGCACTACCAAAAAGTTATGAGTCTTTGAATTTTCTTTTTAATATTGTAGGGGAGCTCAAATATCTATAGAAATGGTACACCAAATTATTTTGTAAAAGTCAACAAACATATTGTAATTGATGTTTACTACTTATCTAAACTTTTGCACATGAAAAAAGCATGATATATTGCAGTGGTATTATCAAGTCAAGGGAGACAGTGAATGATACTATGTGGCACATTAGGGAGTTAAAAAAATTAGATATTGAAGACTTTTCTCAAATAAAGATCTCACTTCAGAAATCATGGCATAACCTTTAAACAAGAGCTCAGCATTGCTTTCTCTTGAAGACTCCATCGTGTTTTATTTGGAAGACTGGAAGGTGCTGGATGCCAACACACTCACCTGGCCAATAATACATGTAGACCTTTCTTTTGGCCTTGGTCAGAGTGACCCACAGAGGCTCTGATCCATTCCACCAGAGAGGCATCAGGCTGTCTCTGTTGACACCGATATCAAATGACTTATTGGTGTTGGGATCCCACATGTAGTTGCCAATCATCTGATGGACTTCACAATGGCGGCCTGCATTAATGAGGACAAAAAGCTGTTAGATTTTGTGGAGATATGTTTTTCTTTTTTTTTTTTTCTGAAAATAAAAGCAACTCATACTTATTTTGGAAGTCTAGAATATTGTCAGGATTTTCCATTGACTTTTAAAATTATGGATCTTTCTTCTTTCCTGGGTTCTACTATAAAAACAATCTGGTGAGATATCCATTAATTGATTGAACATGGGGCCACATTCAGAGAAGGCAGCCAGACAAAGAGCTGTTTTAAGTTATAATGAGAATGTTCTGTGTGGCGTTTGGCTCTCAGTTCATGGTTTGAAGTCTAAATGCCAATCAGTATAGAAATCATTGATTTCCATAAGACTTTGGATATGTTCTCACTCTAGAGCTCTCTCTGTGCCCCTTCTAAACCTTCCTCCCACAAGATCAGCCATCTTGTGTTTATTTTTTCCTTTCTTGAGTTAAAGGAGTTATTTCTTCAGTACTGAACAATGATGCAATCTGTGACATTTGGAATAGGGTGGTAAAAAAAAATAGATTCAACTTTGAAAAACAAAGCCAGGAAACATCCCTCCAAATGGAGAGCTATATGGAAACAAGGGTTGGTTCTGTTGGGCACAGTTCAGTCCCAGAAGAGAAGCCAGAAGTGAAAGACGCAAGCACTTGGATGCTTTTGAAATATTAGGCTTAAATTATTTATTTTGGAGCAATCTGTTACATCTTTAAAGTAAAAATAACACAAACATTGGCAAGTGCACCAGAAATTACTGCAATTTTAGTGAGCGTCACTTGGCACCAGCATGAACCATGCCTCACTGAACTCCCTAACTACGCTTAATCGAAGTGGCCTTTTGTGTTTGTTTGTTTGCTGTTTTGTTTCTTTTTGTCTCCCCCTTACCAACACTTTATTTTTAAACAAAAGCAAAGAGAAACCATAAAACACAATTTTGAAAATTTGGACACCAAAACTAACATAAAGGAAAAACCTTTTATTTCATCACAGAAAACAAGGCACTCCAAAAACCACATCTTGAATTTAAAACTCAAAAACCTAAACACAATGGTTTTTACCCAAAGCTGTACAATTCTTTGATCTTAACTAAAGCATTATACATGGGTTAATAATATTTTTTAAAAAACTAAAACATTGACCAACTTCTCCAATGTTTAAGGAACATTAACTCATATTTATTAAATGCTCATATACGTATAGGTATATTATTATAAACTGTAATAGGTAGAGAGACGAAAATAGGAATTCATGGTGGTCCTCATCCATAAGTGTTTTGTAATTTAATACTCAACAGAGGATCTTATGCAAGAAAGGGATAGGTTTCCTAGGATTGAGGCTAGAAAGGGACCAGGTAGTATGTATAACTGGAAAATCAGGACTGATCTTACCTACATGTCACTGGAGATAACTCCAAGTATGAACTAACCAACTCATTAAGGACATACTTCTTATTGGTTCAGATATATGAAACTTCAAGAGCACTTGTATGCATAAAACTTAATTTTTCCCTTTATGCAAAACAATGCTTTCTATATCAAAACTTTTGTCATCCTAATGATGCTTGTTTACCCTTTCACAAAGAAAGAAAATCATGATAGCATCCATTGGAAAAAGTCCCCCTTCAGCTTTTCCCAGTAGGTGGTCTCTGTAACCCCCTCAGGTGTAGCAAGAGCATCTCACCAAGTGCTGATGTGCAGAGAAACCAAGAAGAAATGCAAAACGGAAAGTGAGTGAGAAAGATATTACTAAGGTCAGTGACCAGAAGAAAGCGCAAAAATTAATCATCAATAAAGAACTAGAAACTGTAGGTGTATCAGATATGGAAATAATAGGAACAGCTACCCAATGAGCAGTAACATCTCTGCCTTCAAATTTGAACTATTTGAATGATTTTAGATGAAATGAGTAAAATGCAAGAATATTGGGGCCTCAGTAATGTATTTTTAAGAAAATACTGAATTTAAAGAAGCAAGAAGCAAACAAAAATAATTGCTAAAGTACTTACATATCTCCCCAACAATGCAGCATTGTTTGGTACATTTTCCCTGCCCTCTACTCATGGTCAGCACTCTGAACCCCAAAATGTCCAACCCTTAACCTCCTTGGCTCTCTTCTCTCAATATAAGCAGTGACACACAGACAGAAACAGAAACAAAGTCAGAGATAAATATAAGACAAAGACAGCCAGAGGCACAGAGAAAATTTCTTAGAGATTCTATATAGTGAGCTCTCTTTTGCCCCAAATCTTCTCTCCTAGGTGACTTGACTTTCCTTCTATGAACGTAGTAAGACTGGTAGGCTAAGCCTGCTCTTGTTCAAGCTGATTTCTTTACCTACCATCTCTCTTTTGCTTTTTCATTTTTATTGCCTGAGTGCAAGTGGTGGCTGAAAGAACAGAACAGAACAAAACATAACACCGTGTTCTCACTCCTGCAGCCCACGAATGCTCATCTCCATATTCCTGCCTGACCCGTCTCTATTTTTATACCTCTGCAAATCTTCTTGACTTTTCTCTGGTTTGTGCTTTGCAGACAGCTCTGCTGTAGTTTGGTTATTTGGACTTTTGCTCAAAGCTTTGGTAGAAACTTTCCTGACTTCCTCAGACAGCACAGGCACAGGTGGTATTCAAGGCTGAGAACCAGAGGCTATCTCTGCGGGGCTTTTGTGCTCCATTGTCTCTGAGAGCGCTCAGGGACTAGTTGCTCATGTAGAATGTCTGTATGAATGTAACTGAGTATGATACTCTCATTTTTTATTGCTTATGTTCTTACTTGGCTTCTGATGTAATGAATGACCATCTCTAAAAGTTTCTTAGCAAACATGAATAAAACTCTGTACCACATATATAATGGCTGACCTGCACATTGCATGTCTTCTTTTACTTCATTTACTGTTTTTAAAAAATCTTCATTCAGGGTGGGGAGGGTTGGCTTGGCGGTCTAAGCACCTGCCTGGCAAGCGCAAGCACCCAGGCTCGATCCTGGGTACTGTATGCCGTGCAGGCCCTGCTCCAAGCCAGTCCTGAAACCTGGTGTGGTGGTACATGCTGTAATCCTAGCACTGGGAAGGCTGTGACAGGAGAATCACTAATAATCTTAGCTGTATAGTGAGACTTTCTACCAAATAAATAAAAGATTTAAAAAATTAAAAACTTCAATCAACATGCCTGCTGCAGTTTGGATAGGGCATGGCCCCCAAATGTTACATGCTGGAAGCTTGGTCTCCAGGGTGGGGGTGGCGCGAGATGGTCAAACCTTTAAGAGTAGGGCCTAGTGGGAAGTCATTTAGCCAAGGAAGCTCTACCTTTGGAAGGAAATAATGTAGGTTTTTTCTTTGGACTAGTTAGTTCTCAAAAGAGCAGGTTACTATAAAGTGTGATGCCCACTATCTTGTCCCTTGGGCCTATGGCCTTTTTCTTTTCCACTTCCCAGCTATGTTGGATTGCAGTGGGAAGTGATGGAGGGGGTGCTTCTCCGATGCTGCTGCCATATGCTTGGGCCTCTAATCATCAGAATCATGAGCCCAATAAACCACTTTATTTTATAAGTTATAGAGGGCTGGGGAGATAGCTCAGCAAGCTTAAGCATTTGCCTGGAAAGCACAAGATCCTAATTTCTAATCCTGGTACCAAAAAGAAATGCATACAAATTATCCAGAGTCAGGTGTTTTTTATCATAATACAAAAAGTACTAATATAGTACATTTATCAAATAATAGGTACCTGCTAAACATATAAACATAACAAGACACAGTCCATTTTAGACTGGCTTATGGCCAGCCTTGCATAAGAAACAGGCTGACAACACTGTTTGGAGGATAGGTCTTACAGTCAGACTGTACTGTAGGTTCAAATAGAAACTCTTCTATCTACTAAGTCCGTAATCTTGGACAAGTTGATTTAGAACCTCTAAAGCCTCAACTTCCTTATCTAAGTAATTGTCACGATGACAATTACTGTAAAATATATAAATATAGAGATATGCATGGAGTGTAGGTCCATGAAAATCTTTGTGCAAGCATAAGCAATACAGACCTATCTTGATAATCAGTGGGAGAAATGACCACTGAAAATGTGGTCACAGCCAGGAATGATGGCGCACACCAGTAATCGCAGTGCTTGGGAGGCTGAGGAAGGACTGCTGTGAGTTCAAGGCCAGCCTGTACCACAGAGTGAGTTCAAGGTAAGGGTCATCTATATAGTGAAGCCTTACCTCAAAAATGTTAACATTTTTTTTCTTACTTTCAGTTACAGCTAATAGATAGAAAAGCAAAGGTACATGATAAAACAATGAAGTACTAGTATCTTGTAATTTCAAACATTGAGAATTAGAGTCGTATTTCTTAGCTAAAAACTTAGCAAACTGGTTTGGACAGTGTTTGCTTTCTTCTATATTATAACACAAGACAGATGAACATTATTATTGCACTTTGGTGAATTGCCACACTCTAAGCTTGGATCAGCTTCCAACGTTTTATTGTTTGTTCCTTCAATGCCACAAAACAACCTCGAGTTCCTTTAACAGAAGGAGGGGGATGGGGAGATAGCTCAGTTGAATAAGTTCTTGCCTGGCAAGTTCAAAGGCCTGAGTTCAATCCCCAGTTCCACCAAAACAAACAAAAAAACAAAACCCCAACCAACCAACAACAACAAAACCATGAGGAGGGACACCTACCTCCTTTATGTCACAACCATTTTCCCAATGCTATGACTTGGGTATGGCTTGCCCTCCAGAGCTTCCTGTGCAGGAAGCATGATCCCAGTGTGCAGACATGGAGGGGGCACAGCAAGTAAGAAGTGGAGCTTGGCAGAAGTCACCAGGTCACGGGAGCTCCATCCAATAAATGGGCTCATGGTGCCTCTAGGAGGGTTAGGGCTCCTATGACTGGACTAGTTCTCAACATCGCACTGTTGTACAGTGACAGTGCCCCTAGCTTTAGCCCCTTCTGTGTGTGGCTGTTTCCCTTTCCACTTCTGCATCATGTATTTTTAAAAATTTTAT